TTCCGAGTCGACCTTCTCCGGCCCCAGCAATTCCATCACGCTGAACGCGTCCAGACGCACTTTCTCTTCTTCGGCATGAGAAGAAGGGAGGCTATCCCCATCAGCACTGGAAACTGTCGGCAACGGTAGCTGAGGCTCCCCTCCTCCTCCATCGACATTAACCCCGCCTTCGGTCGTTGAACTATCCACGACCTCGGTCGGCGGCGGAGTGATCCCGACCGCTTTGGTCTCCGCCGCCGCCGTCGTTGTTGTTGTTGTTGTCGTTGTCGTCATCGAATTCGGGGAAGACGAATTAGACGAAGCGGAGGAGGAAGAAGAAGCATCCACCTTATCTCCACCTGCCTCTCCTCCACCTGTTCCCCCGCTCCGCTCGTCACTTCCCGCACATCTAACGATTGTCGGCGTCCATCGCCTTCTCGTTCTCCTTCTCCCGTTCTCCATCTCCACTCCCATGCCTTGGATTGATAGGTTGCCCGCTTGGATTGATAGACTGCCCCGTTGAATGCGGCCAACACCGCTGCCATGTCGCGACCGTTTCGGAACGAGAATGTGCTGCTGACTTCCGCTTCCCCTGCGACCGGTAGCTGGCCAAGTGGCAAGCGGTCTCCGGTAGCAGTCGTGGGAGACAGCGCCGCCGCGGGACCAGCATGATCTAGAAGAAGATAGCCTAGAGGACGCGCAACAACCTGAGGATGGAGAGTGGCAAGCGGGGCTGCACGCGGCTGCCGAAGAAGGAGAGGAACACCCACACGGCTGATGAAGGGGCAGTGCTCGACTTGGCGATGAGCAGAAGAGGGAAGCTGATGAATATGAAGAAGACGGAGAGGAGGAGGAGGAGGAGGAGGAAGAAGAAGAAGAAGACCGCGATGAAGGACTTGCGTTGATGGACGACGCCGATCCAACGGCAGCAGCAGCAGCCATTGGATGGGAAGTTCGACGACGACGAGATGGCTGTAGACTGCTCCCACAGCCTGAACACGTCGCCTGTCCGGACGGTCTACCCAGAGCCGCCGCGTGTACCGTCAACGACGAAGCGGCCATTCTGTACTACGTGTTTCACTTACTAATAGTAATCAAATAATCAAATAATAATAATAATAATAAGATTCAAAAGTCAGCAACGCTAATTCTTAAAAAAAAAAAAAAAAAAAAAAATACATACACATAAATGTGAGCGGCAACGAAATCTTAGCTTGGTAAACTCCACCAGCAGAACGAGTTTCTTCACCGCGTATTCCTCGTTCCTCACCCTCCCATGCAGTGAAATCGCCTCGAAACTACCGATAGCTAATCAAACAACAAGGCAAGGGGAGAGGGAGGCGCGAATACAAGCCGCCATTTTCCAGTCGCCTAGACAAAAAAAAAAAAAAAAAAAAAAAAAAAAAAAAAAAACCCTGTTCTCGGCGGGATACTTGCTTCCCGCCGATCGCTGCTAGAAACCGGCCGGCCTCCGGCGACGATCTATGACCCGCCGCCCTCGCGTTCAAACAATTCAGCAACGTGCGCGCTTTTCCACGTGCTAACGGACAAACCCCGCCATTCGCAATTTCGGGTCGGCGCTCAATGGCTGAAACTTCCGACACAAAGCAGTTACCTTTACCGCCCGTAACCCGCTCATTTCGAATGTATAATGGTCTTCCCGCCCACTTGCAGAATCTCTCTGCCGTTGCCACGTTGCATGCTTGTCGCATTCGCATCGAAAATCGTATCAATCAACAGATTCCCCCCGCGCGTTCTCCAAATCTGGACTCGGTTCGTGTGTACTTCCTTCCGACGTGTATTCTTTCCGTTCGTCTTCCTTCTTCCTTTCCAGAGAGAGCATCGCGTCCCTCTGGGCCTCTCTTCTCTACCGGGAAAAGTGGCGGGGTTGGGTTGCCCACCTCGACAGCTTTCGTAAAAGGAACTGTAGCTACGTAGGGATTTACCCAAAATGGGCGGGGACCAGGGACGAGCTTTTCCCAACATGCAAATGCAAACGCGAAGTGTGACCCCGCTCGATCTCCTGGTGGGGCGGCAACGCAGCAACTCCTTCAGCCCAGGGGCTGGTGGTGTCACCACCACGTAGAGGGCTCGATTTAATTTATTTTCCAGGAAGAATCATTATTTCCCAGGAAGAATCACTGCTCAGCCGTCAGATAACTGCATCTTAGGGCTGAGCTATCACTCTCTCCAGGGTGCGACTTCCGGCCCTGCCGTCTTCTGCCGTCTTCCTCAGTGATAAGAACATCAGCGAAAGTTTGCAACGTTCCCCGAAGAAAAATAACATCGGGGCGTTCAATACGGGGGCCAAGTCCCACTTACGCTGATCCTTGATTACTGGTCGTTGATCTTCCGAATCTGCGGTCAGAAATGGATCATTCGGGTAAGTGGGACTTGACCCCGGGTTGGATGTCTAGAGTGGGTTCGGTTACTTAGGGCGTCCCGTTAGGATCACGGCCTCTACAAAAAAGAAAAAAAAGGATCACTTTCTGCAGTCAGGGCATAGTCGCACTGGGATCACTTTCCGCAGTTGACGTCTGGAGTGCGTTGGCTTACTGAGGGCATAGTTCTTTTCTTTTTTTTTTTCTCTTTTTTTGGCTGAGGGCGTAGTTCCACTAGGATCACTTGAGCAAATCTGCAAGTGACTGGCGTGAGTTTGGCCTCAGCTGAGCCAAGAAACAGCTGTCGTCCATCAACAGCCCGCTTCTTCAGCTGGGCACACTTATCGAGGACGGAACAACTCGTCAGTTTCACCTGACAAGTAGCCCGGGACTGGCCTGCGAGCCGGCACCGCGCTGGCGCCACGACCGGCCGAACCAGCCGGCGGCCATGGAATTCAACTTTGCATAGTACCCGACTTTTCCCCTGTATGAGATTGAAGCCGTACCCAGTCCTGCAGACCCTCCGTTGCAGACCACGAAATAATGGTCCTGCCCAGAAACCCTGCCTGCAAAATTGTGGGTGTACCCACACCCAGGGCCATTAAATTATGATTATGCCCAGAAACCGGGCTGCAAAATATCAGGTGTACCCACACCCACGGCTGGGCCTTGGAAGGCAGACCATTAAACCACCAGTACTTGGCCCATACATCGGCCACAGGGTGTTGCCCTTAACGCCCCGCAACTTCAGGAGCCTCAGGGTAGCGGCCCTCAAAGGCTGGCGCCGCCAGCCAAAACAAGTTTTTTTTGTTGCGCTGGCAGGTTGGCGCGGCGCGCAGGCCGTTTTCAGGCTTGGCATTTATAGTTGGGCCAAGTACTGGTGGTTAAAATTATGCTCATGCCCGCCAAGTGAACGGTTTTGTGACCCAGGGGCTGCTGGGTATGACCATAATTTCAGCCATCAGGTACTAGGGTATATGAATAATTTGGCCAGTCCACCTCAGTCCTGGGTATGCCCATGATTTTGCCTGGGTATGTCCATGATATGTGTGTTCCGGTAGTTGGTTATGACGGCAATTTTGTGGTACCGACCTGGGTCCACTGGCACCTAGGTCCTGGGCATGGAAATAATCTCCACCAGCCGCTTTCCAGGTATAGGTGCAAGTTGGCGCTGGGACTGGGTGGGGTACAGATGCAATTTTCCCTTTATTCTTCTTGTTACGTACGTCTGTGAGGGCGTGCCCACCTTAGACAGGAATAAGAGCCCATGTCTGACCCGTGCCTGGTGTAGAGAACCCCAGATTGATGGCTCCGATCTTATGCGTGGGGAGCTCAATGTGCTGGAAACCAGGCCCAGCATCCCTTGTATTCGCAGCCCTAAGGCTGCGGTATAGTACACTTCAGGGTCCGTGTCAAGGTGGCACATTTTCAGCGGCGGGGGACCGGCGCACAAGTGGGTTCACCGCGTTTTTATGGACTACCTACAGCTATCGCACGTAGAACCGGTGCGGTAGCAAAGTTGGAGGACCGGTCCTCCCTTGCATGTGAACTGCAAAAGGGGCTAAAGCAAAAAACTGTTTGCTAATGCCCTCAGGCCCAGGCGTTGAGGCAGGGTCTGATGTGGGCGCGTGTGAACATTGCTTTCCGCTAGGCCCCTACACAAAAGGCGTACCGGCGGGTCCAGTCCCGCAATTTGCAAGAGGCAACTTAGGCATTTTTTTGTGCTCAAAACAATTTGCAGAAAAATCTGAAAATTTGAGATTCCGTAGATTAGGTCGTGATCTTTGCAGCAAGAATATCAGAAAATTTAAAAAACATCATTAAGATCGCAAATAACTGTCGCGCCGATTCAGTGCATTTTCCCTTTTTGCCACTCGGCCATGTGCGGGCCAACAGAAAAAGTACTTCAATGATTTTTCAAGCTCAAAAGAATGCGTGGAACAATCTGAAAATTGCAGTACTTGCAGATTTTACTGTGATCTTTCCATGAAAGAATTAAATAAATTTAAAAAATCATTTCAACTGCGAAATAGATTGCGGTGGCAATGAGAGAAGGTTAACAACAACTGTATTTTTCATCACCACTACAGGACACCCTTCACCACTTCAGGATGCAGCCTGCCTAAATAGGTGGTTTTCTGGGTCTTCGGACCTTTCACCACTTTATGACCATTCAGGTCTGAAAATCCTGAATGATCCTGAAGTGGTGAAAACTCCGAAGACCCTGAAAACCACATGTTTAGGCAGGCCGCATCCTCAAGTGGTGAAGGGTGGTTTTCATGGTCTTCGGACCTTTCACTACTTCAGGACCATTCATGATTTTCAAACTGCCCAAAACTCTCACTTGACCACTTCAGGACACCCTTCACCACTTCAGGATGCAGCCTGCCTAAACAGGTGGTTTTCAGGGTCTTCGGACCTTTCACCACTTCAGAACCATTCAGGATTTTCAGACTGCCAAAAACTCTCACTTCATAATTTTCATTCCTGAATTTTTAACTACCCGATACCCGCTTGTGGTGACAATTTGACCCATTTTTTATTTTTTTCATTCAGTCTCTCTCTCTCTCTCTCTCTCTCTCTCTCTCTCTCTCTCTCTCTCTCTCTCTCTCTCTCTCTCTCTCTCTCTCTCTCTCTCTC